CTCGCGACGCCTCCCTGCCTGAGGTCCCCCCTCAGGTCGGGGTTCACCCTCCCCTCCTCGCCCTCCGTGGTACCAGCCTCGCGCCCGCTGGAGCAACCAGCCCTCACTTCGCACCTCCGCACGCTTCCACAGATGGCGCCGTCCTTCCGCCCACCCTGTGAATTAAGTTTCTTTCATGCAGCGCCGTGTTCCTGAGACTGACACGCGTTCGCTCAGAGAGCACCGGGGCCGCGCTGGGCCTCAGAAACATGAGCTAGGCCCGCCCGGCCCGATGCAGGCGCCCCTGGCCGCGGGGTTGCCGCACTCGGGGTGGGACGCGTGCAGCAGAGGGGCCGCCTTCCGTATCAATTTCATTTCAGTGGCTGGGAATCCCGAGAGCCACACGTGGCTGGTGGCCACCAGGCCCAGCAGCACCCCTGCGGGATCCGAGGGGCACAGCGCGTCCACAGCATTCTCAGTGGACCCTACCACCTGCTGTCTACCCACTCCCCGTCGGCCAGTGCACAGCTCTGCCCACATCATCCTGCTCAGTGAGGCTCGTGCAGGCATTTCTGGAAGCTTCTCCAGGGCACATATGCCAACTGGGACTTGTCAGTTCCAGGCGGGCACAGGCCCAGCCCGAGCTGACGCCGCCGCCTGGGAGTGGCTGGGCCGACGGGCACCCACACGGCTGTGCACAGAGCTGGCACTTCTGCTGGCCAGCCCAGGGCTCCCATTGGCCCAGCCTGATGCCTGGGGCTCCGGCTCCTCCGGAGCAGGCAGTCCCCCCAGCCCACTAGCTGAGCGCCTTTCCCTGCGTCGGTCGGCCCTTGAGGTCCCCTCCGAGAATCCCCCAGAGGCCCTGCTCCCTCTAATCTCCACTCTGCCCCTCTGTCAGTCTTGGCTTGTGTGTGAGCTCCACAGCCTCTCTGGCCCCAAAGGACGAGTTGATGTCTCGTATTGTAAGCTCTTACAGAATCTGGACCTTTTTAAAATAGTTTGCACACCCATCATAGACCAATCCATGGTGTGGTGCTGGCCTCCCGGTACCCTCGGCGCCTGGCAGGTGTGCTCAGTGGACACGCACAGGCCACAGACACGCAAATGGCAGGACGGGGGCTGCATCTCACCCCACCCAGGTCACGGGTCGCCTCCTCCTCAGTTCATTCCCTGCCACAAGCAGAAGCAGCAAGAGCTCACCAAGCACCAAAGGGTCGGGCACACAGATTAAATTACAAGTTAAATTAGAAACGGCCCCAAATGTAAGCAACAAAATGGCCTGAAAATGCAAAAGCACAGTTATAAACAACTTAAGGACCAGAGAAGAAATACAAACAGAAACTTGACAGAAAACAGATGAAAAGAGAATTGAATAAAAATAAGAGACTCCCAATCCATGAGATGAGATAGAAGATTTAGAGGGAAACGCAGCAGTTAATGCTGTCGTGTAAATGTCATTATTGGGGGGAAGAAAGGCTGGGGGGTAATTAGCTAAGCAGGTGACTCTAGATGTCAGAAGCAGCACAGGGGCGTCGCCTGAAAGAAGGAAGAAATGAAGTCAGCCGCAAAATTAATGCAATGTCAGAGCTACCACCAGGGGTATCAATCCAAGGAAAAGCTAACTCACTGCAAGGGGGTCAGGCGAGCGTGGGTGCTCTCAGGTGACCCCTGGGAGAGGGACTCCAAGCATCTCCAGCCCGGGGGCAGCTCACAGCCCCTGGGGGAGTGGCCCCAGCTGTGGCTGGGGAGTCCCCGCTGACATCCAAGCTCCCTCCCAACGCAGCTCCCTGCGAATCTCCTGCCCATCCTCCTGCAGAGAGGCTGAGGCTGCCGGGGGCGGGCGGGGTGTTCCCAGGAGAGCCCTGACGACCCACCTCTCTCCTGAGATGACGCACTGCTCATGCCCCTCGTTCCCTGGCCCTCGGCCGCATTCCAGTACTTGCTTTCATTTTCACCAATTTGCCCCAATTCTCCCTACCTCAGGTGGCTCCTGGACTCTAGAACAGCTCCCGGTAGCTCCCTCTGCCCCTTGGGGAGACCCTCCCTGGCCCAGACAGGATTCCTTTTCAGGTCCCGGATCTTGCTGGGGCTGGACACGCGCGTGACAGGGGCCGCGCCATCCTGCAGGGGGCGCTGCGGGCCTCGCCCTGGGCCTTGCTGGGCGCCCTCTGGACACCCCTCAAGCAGGACCGCGGCTCCTAGGGCTGCTGGTGGCCTCTTATTTACCTGCTCGGGCCCGGAGCGGCTCGGCTCCACCAGGCAAAGCCATCTCCCGCCAAAGCCCACCGCGTTCCCGGCTGCAGGCGGAGACAGGCCGCAGATGGCTTCATTTAGAAGCGGCGCGGCAGGAATTCCTTGCTCCACAGCTCTTCATCCTCTGGCTGGGGCGTGGGGTCAGGACCGCACACGGTCATGAGGCTCTTCATCTCCCCGCTGCTGTCTGGGAGGCGCGAGCCCCCCCGGCTCCCCTCCCAGCCCCTGAGAAGGGAAACCGGCTTTTCGGAAAGACCCCACCGAGTCCGGGCCTGGCTCACTGGGTGACCGGGAGCCGGGCGCGTCACCTGCCAGGGCTCCGGGGGCCCCTCTGTGGCACTGGGACGCCTCTGGGTGTTCTGAGGCTTGTGAGAAACGCACACCTCACGCCGCCGAGCGGCAGGCCTGGCTCCACACCAGTGCCGGGGTGCAGTGCGGTGCCCGACAAGGCTCCAAGGCCAGGCACCTCTGCAGCTCCCCCATCTGCCTGGGTGACTCAGTCCCTCCAGATGCCTGTGCAGTGGGGACCCATCGGCAGCCCCCGCCCTGCTAAGCGTGTCGTGAAGCCAGAACACGCGCGGGCGGTCGCGGGCGCGTCCTTAGGAAGCGGCGAGAACCAGAAACGTGTGCACGAGCAGAAGGCGTGAGCGCTTGGCTGCCTCGGGCACAGAGTAGCCGCTTAATATTTTTAATTTTTTAATTTAATTTTTTTTATATTAAAGAGCAGGTTTATTAGGAAAGGGATAGGACAGTAAAGACACTTCACAGACCCCAGCGGGCAGGACGAGCTGCCCCGAAAGGGCCAGGTTTGCTGAAGGAGGCCTGCGCGGCTGCGGGCGGGCGGCCTTGAGGAGCGCGGCCTCCGCTGAGGGAGGTCAGTGAGGAGATGCCCCGGCAGGTACAGGGCACAGGCGGGCAGGCAGGGGGCTGCTGCCCTGCGGAGGGAGAGAGTTGGTGAAAGGAAGCACCTGCATAGGCCCAGGTGGGCAGAGTGCTGCCCGCTTAATATTTTTTAGATGGGTGGATGGATGAGTATTTCCTCCATACTGAAGCTTCTAAGTAAAGGGAGATCGCAAAAAAGAATTTTTAGCTGGGTTTTCTCTCGTCTGTGTGCTGGTGTTAACCTGATTCCCGGAGATGAGAGTGGGCTTTGAGTCCCCCACCAGCAGCACCCCCACCAGTAGCAGCACCCCCCACCAGCAGCACCCCCACCATCAGCACCCCCACCAGCATCAGATCAATACCACCCACTATTAACACCACCATCAGCAGCCCCCACCACAAGCACCAAATCAGCACCACCCCCATTTGTACCGCCCAGGCACCCACATGCCGAACTGTTCCCCGGGGGGGCCTCGGGAGAGTTGGATCAGTGTCCCGAGGCGAACAAATTGCCACACGCTTGGTGACTTAACCAATAAAAATCGCCTCTCCAACAGTTCTGGAGGTGATAAAGCCAAAATCAAGGTTTCAGGGGGATGCGCCCCCTCCCAGGCTCCAGGGGAGAACCCCTCCTTGCTTCCCCACCCACTGGTGGCTCCCGGGCCGCGGCCACCACAGCTCTCCCCACATGGCCTCCTCGTGTGTCCAGTGTCTCCAGAAAGACACGTGTCGGGGGACTGACTCAGAGCCGTCGGAATAAGCCAGGATGTTCTCATCCTGAGATCCCCAACTGGATGGCATCTGCAAAGACCCCTTTCCCGAAGAGGGTCACGTTCACAGGCTCTAGGGGTTGGGACGTGGACATATCTTTTTGGGGTCATCATTCAGCTCGCTCCAAGGGCCTGGGAGGGTGTGGCAGAGTTGCGGACAGCAGACCTATGCGCCCTGTGAAGACACTCAGGTGACAGGCCACCAGCCACTGGGCATAGCCACGGGACCTAAGGGGGCGCCGCCAGCATGGGCCCAGGCGGCTCCTGGAGGCCTTGGGGGCGTCTCTAGCTGCCTCTGGGAACCCGGGTGTCAGCAACATCAGGTCACCGTGTGACAGTCAAGCACCCCTCGAGAGGGACATAAAGTGTGTCTTGGAAGCCTTGAGCTTACTGGCCCTGCCCTGGTGGATGGATTTGGGGACGGGGCCCGGGCTCTGCCTGTGTCAGAGCAGCCGCAGATGGTTCTGAGGCGAATCTGAGAAGCCCATCCCAGAGCCTGCGTCCCTTGGCCCCAGAGACATGGCAGCCTCTGTCCTCCGCAAACCCACAGGGCACCCCCACACCGGACCTCCGGGCGGGCAGCGGGCAGGCAGGTCGGGGTCTTGGCTGCTTACACTAGTAACCAGGAGGCTCCTGCTCTGCGCTGCCCCTCCCTGCAGAAGCCCCCTCCGGCGGGGAGCGGTGCTGGGACCAGGGCTCTGCTGGAGCGAGGGCCCCTGACTCCTGCTGCCTCTGGCAGGAGGGGCTGGGATCAACCTTGGGTGAATCAACTTGGGTAAAGGAGCCCGGAGGGCACCAGGGGGTCCCCGGAGAAGGGGGCTGCTGGGGCTCTTAGGGGTGGTGAATCGGCATGTGGAGCAGGAGGCCCCCAGGAGGCTGTGGCTGCCGCGAGGCGCCCTTACTGCACGTTCTCCCGCCTCCAGCGGCCCTCGCTGCCTCCCTCCTGGGGCTTCCGACCCCTCAGTACCAGGAGGGCCCCCACACGGTTCTGCCCCCCACAGCTGTTTTTAGTATTGCCCCAGGATGGAAGTAGGGAGCGGGAAAGGGGTGAAGGGCAGTCCTCGGAGCGTGCTGTCGGGCACCCGCCCTCTGACCAGGTCCTCTCTCTGTCCACAGGTGGGCGCCCACCTTGACACGTTCCCCACCGAGGCCGACCGCCAGCGAGCTCTCAAAGCCCTCCGGGAGGAGCACCCCGTGCGCCAGGGGACCCTGCGGATGGGCAACTACACCCACCCCTGAGGCCCTGACCCCACACAGCCCCCCGACTCACTCCCTGCCCCGTGCCCACGCACGCCCTGCGCTGGCTAGGACCTCACAGTCAGGTCTCAGGTTAGTTATTTTGCTAAGAGTCCCCCCTTTTTTAGCCACCCCTACCTGACCTGAGTCTCGGGGGCCCTCTACCTTGGGGCCTCCTCCAACCCTGCGCCCGCAGGGCACCCTGGCAAGGCAGACATCAGCCCCCAGGCTAAGGGCCAGGCGTCTGCTGCCCTCACAGAGCGGCCTGCTGCTGCCTGCCTCCCCCTCCATGCCCGCTGCCCTGTCCCGCCAGCCAGTTGTCTCTGGGGCTCCTTACGGGGTCCTCTCCCCCTCCCCCGGCATCAATCCGGGGCACCAAGGTGGGCTTCCCCACCCAGACCCACCTGGCCACCCCTCAGGAGGACAGCGCCCCCAGCTGGGCCGGCTGAGCACGCGCAGGCCAATCTCCCGGGCCAAGCTCTTGCCTTGGTTTCCTGCATGTTCTTTGGCTTCTCCCCACACGTGTGTACTGAGCTACTTGAGACATAAACGCTACTGCTCATGCTCCTCTTGCGTCTTTATGTGGAAGCTGGTAACCCCATCATGACTGCAGAGCCGACCTCAAGCTCTTGAAATGACGCTGCTGCCCCACAGGGGCTCCGAAGGCGGCGGCTTCCCCAGGGTCCCAGCAGCACCGTCCTGAGGCCTGAAATCCCCCCGTGACGCCAGCCGGGGGGGAAACCAGCGTCTCCATTCATCTCGGCCAGAGCCACTCTGGGGACTTGCGACCTCGGGGAGCGCAGCACTCGGGGAGCACAGCGGTAGGCACAGCAGGGCACCCACGGGGCCTGAGACGAGTCAGGTAGCCGCTCAGGCGGCGAGAGCATGCCCAGCTCCACCGCGGGGTTTCCGTGTGCGCTCGGGCGGGGCCTGACCTCTCCGTGCCTCCCCCGCAAGACAGGAGCGGACACCACGGCACACGCCCTCGGCTCGGCAGGACACGTCCAGGGACAGCCCAGTCAGCACGGGCCGGGCACTCTGAAGCAGATCGAAATGACGTATTACTTCCCTGTTATTAATGAATTAATGCCCCTGAAGAGGGGGCAGCCCGACACTGGGGGGACTGCGGGACAAGGAAGGGGTGCTCAAAGGACGAGACAGTCCAGACGCATCAAGAAGAGAAAAGATAAGTTGAAACAAGCCCACGTTTGGGCTCTGGGATCCTCTGTGGGGTGGAAGGGAGTGTCCTGGGGGCAGGGTCTCCTCAAGGGCCAGAAACAGTCCACCTGAGTGGAGGTGTGGGGCAGGGGCTGCTGGGGTGACCAGAGAGCTGCCCCCCCCCAAGTAAGCAACCCCTCCAGGCCTGCTTTTCTGGGAGCCTGCCCAGGGGAAAATATTGATTTGGCCAAAAAAGGCCAAATCTCATTTATCTATCATCTCTTGCAGCAGCGGGGTATGTCAGGTGCGGGGGAGCCCCCGCAGCCTCCTCTGGAGCCCCCAGCCTCCAGGTGCTCCCCAGCCAGGCAGGACGAGCGCTGACGGCCCTCAGCTGCTGTCCTACAGCGCCACCCGCTGGCCAGTCAGAGCGGGAGGCCGTGGAGACCGCCTGGCTCTTGCCTCCCTCCCTGCCTTCTGGTCTCAGGCTGGCCCTCCCCCGCCTCCACCCCACCCCCCACCCCCCGCCCCGCCTGGGTCCTCCCTTGCTCCTCCTTAATTATCTGTGCTTTGCAACGTCCCGGGTGTGGTTCCGGCCTGACTCCTCTTCCCTGGGTGTCCTGTCGGATTGGCCAAATGTTTGTCCTCACTCACTCGAGCCGGCCTGCCTGGGTCCACACCCAACACTGGGGTCCCTCTACCTGCCTTCACCAGCCAGCATAGAGCCCCTGGAGGTTCCGGGGGTGGGGGGTTTGGGGATCATGTGTCGACCTCCCTCCACTGCCAACCCCCCTTGGCAGATGGAAAGCAGATGTTAAAGGAGGCCTGAATTCCCTCCATGAGCAGGCCACCAAGCTGCCCAGCCACTGAGCAGTCCCCTGCATATCCAGAGCCCGCCCCCCAAAACTATTTCTCAATGAAAGATGGGTGGGGATGAGGCCTGCTTAGCTTTCCAACCCAGGTCCTCCTAACCACAAGCCAGTACATGCCACGTAGTGGGTGGCGGTCCCCAGAGCAAGTTCTGTGTGCCTCTCCCTTGCTTCTTTCCCTGCTGGCTGGCACTGGAGAACATTCTACCCCCTGGCCAGTTGTGACTCCACTACAGAGGCCCACGTGAGTCTCCTGCAGGAGCTGCACAGGGGAGGCTGGTCCGTACCCTCATAGGTGGGGGGGACTCCCAGAAGTCCCCTCTGCAGTGGAGGCAGTGGGCAGTGGCCACACTGGTGCGTACCTGGTGGGAGGCCTGGGGTGCAGAAGGGCTGAGACGGAACCCCAAACAGGATTCAAGGAGCCAGAAGGTGCTGGAGAAAATAGCCAGTCCTGCTAGAAAAGACAGGGCTGCCGACGAGTCCTAGCAGCACACCCAGGACGGAGCAGAACTCTGGGTCCACACTGAACCCCCACTGCCTTCTATCCGTTTTCACACTCTAAAGTGAGGCCCAACCCTCATTTGCTTCCTTGCACCCCTTCTCTGCTACAACCAGATCATTAACCGCTTCCTCAGCGCTAAGAGAGGTGGAGGGTGCCGGTCTAGCTCCAGGACTCCCGGGTGGCAGGCAGCCAGCTCTCTGGGGCAGGGGCTCAGCGCCGCCCAGGTCACAGATCCAGACGGAGAAGGCTGGGCTTCTGGTGACGCATCCCATGCCCCAACTAGCACAGGCTCAGAAACCTCGGACTGCGGTGCAGCGGCAGCAGCCGGGGCCCCGGCGGGTCTGCACTGCGGCCAGGCTCCTCAGCAGCAATCGCACGCCTTGTGGCATTGGTCCCGGGGGCCAAGCAGTCTTTCTGCTGCTTGAAAATGGTCATTAAAAGAAAAAAAAATAAGGTGCCTTTTTACACAGCTCCCTAGAACTGCTCAGGTAAGGCATAAAGTATAAAGTTGAACCCACGAAGGAGACATTGCGGATGACGAGGAATTTACACTGGTGGGCACTGCTGCCCCGTGGACTCCGTGAGGGCGGGTCCTTCTGGCACACTGGCTGCGACATCACCAGGGTCTGGCAGGGTGCAGGTGGCTTGGGACAGGGTGCAGGCCTGGGGGGGGGCGGGGAGGGAGGGAAGATCTGAGGAAGGGAGGAAGGAACAGAGAGGGTGCGGAAGGGAGGGAGGGAGAGGGAGGAAGCAGGAGACGGCAGAGGAGGCGCGAGGGAGAGCGAGACCAGGCTCCTTCTGGTTCCAAGGAGCTCGGCGGGACTTTGAGCTAAATCAACACAAATGGTTGAGAACAGCGTGACCTTGAAGCCCACAACTTGTCCAAATCTTTGTCCAACCCATCTGTTTGCAGAGCAAAGATCTTAGCGCCCAGGCCTGGCCGACGTCGCCCAAATTCTCTGCCTACTGCACCCTGCAAACTGGTTTTGGTTGGAAGGCCCTGGGCAGAGAAGGCAGCCGACCAACCCCTCCAGGAGACGCGTGTGAGGACTCTCCCCTGCCGGCAAATGTCCTGTCACGGTCAGCAGATGAGCCGTTAAGGGCGTGACTGCTCTTGCCCGGGACCCTAGCTGGGTGCTGAGTCCCCAGGACGACCATGTTCTCTGCCCGGGGCCTTCTGACCAAAACCAGTGTGCAGTGTGCAGTAGGCAGAGAATTTGGGCAACGTCGGCCAGGCCTGGGCGCTAAGATCTTTGCATCACTCTCACCAAAAAAAACCCAAACAACAAACAACAACAACAAAAAAAACCCCACGGCTCAGAAAGGTCATGGGGCAGGGTGAGGCCGCACCTGTGGCCCGGGGACCTCAGCAGGCGCGACAAACAGCCTTGCGTGCAACATGCTTCAGTCAAAATGTAAAATCCCTGGGACAACATAGCAGTTGAAGATCACTCGGTTCCCCTCACCGGCCTCCCGAGGCCCGAGCCCGGGGCTCCAGAACCAGGAGGCTAAAATTCTACTCCAGCCTGGCCCACTCTGGAGCCGTCCTCTGCCGCCAGCTCCCCGCGTCTCGCTGCCCAGAGCGCCGCTTGGAAGGTGGATGCTGGCATTCGCGACACAGTTCGCTCACGAGCACAGAAACCTCGGGATTCTTGTCAAAAAACTCTGAGCAGACTCCCCGGGCTCCGCCTGCCGAACCAGGTGAGGGAGAGCAGGGGCACAATCCGGAGGGCCCCAGGGGCACCTTGTGGCGAGGCCTGTCAGTCCAAGGGGTAGAAATCGGGTCAGAACCAAGGCCCAGGCCACTCTCCAGGCCATCCTGACCCCAAACCAAACCCAGGCCAAGAGCCCCGCGGGAGCAGGATAGGGACTCCACAGCCAGGTGGCTTCCTAGCTGGCCACTGGCCTCCACCACCCGGCCCCGGCCCCTCGCTCCAAAGACCGCAGGGAAAGCTGAGGTCCAGGCAAGAGAACGCGCTCCCAGAGGGCGGACCCCAGCCCAGGTCTTTGAAGGCTTAGGCAGCAGCTGCCCTCCCTGCCCGGAGGAGGGAAGGCGCCTGCCCTGTGGGGGGTGGTTTGGGGCCCTCCCGGGCTCTGGGGCCGTTGAGAAGCAGAAGATTTAAAGGGAAACAATCTCAAAGGTCTGGGAGGTTGGTGACTGGAATTTAAAGCAACGAGCTGGGGGAGCTGGGGCTGGAGTCAGAGAGGGAGCCCGGATTAGGGCCCGGGCTCTGGAGGGGCAGGTTCGGGCAGGCCCAGGCCCTGGTTAGTACAGTGGGTGCTGGGAGCTGGTCTTGCGGTGCCCTGCTGGGCACACTTCCCTGCCCCAAGCCCCCACCGGGCAGCCTCCTTCGTGGGGGGAGGGGGCCCAGAGGGTCCAGCCTGGCGGGAGGCCTAGGGCTGGGGATGGAGGGAGCCTGCCTCCTGCAGCGCAGGCAGAGGTCTCGAGGTGAGGTCACCCAGCTTCACAGGACCCCAAAGCTCCGGTACCAGTTCAGGACCAACCAGGCTCCTTTCTCCAAGGGGAGGTGGAGCACCCGCCCAGGAGCCCCCAGACGCTCAGAAAAATGCCAGTTCCTGGGCCCCTTCCCAGCTACACAGAGCCCAGGGAAGGCCCACAGATACCCCCGACCCCACCCCAGGCTGCAATCAGGCCAGGCCAAGAGGTCAGGACCTCGGAGGATGGAGAAGAGGAGGAGGAAGCGTGTGTCGGGCGGGAACTCCCCCCACCCCAGGAATAACACGGTGGTCGTGAGCAAGCGCGGAATCCTAAAGTGACTCTAAATGAAATCACTCGCACGGCACGTTTTATATCGCAACAGACTCGCTCACTCGACACTGATACTAACAACCTGTTAAAAACCCTCTGACTCTGAGGAGTGAGGCGAAGCGGCCAGGGCTGCAGGAGACAGGGGCTCACACCGTTCTTCTCAAGGAGAGGGTCGCCCGCCCCACCCCTCCAGCTCAGCCTTTCACCCCGGGGCCCAGCTTCCTGAGCTTTGCTTCGCTGGGCCCGGGATCCAAAGCCTCCTCGGATCCCAAGGCCAGCAAAGGCTTGAGCTGCCAGAGGCGGTCTACCCTGAGCGGGGGCTGCCCAGCCTTCCTTGGACACCGCAGGACAGGACTCCCCTGCAGCCCGTCTCGTCCAGGGAGTCCTGTCCCGGACTCTGTGCGGCCCAGGCGGGGTGTCCCGTGGACCTGAGCTGGGAACGTGGGTATTCCAAGGAGCTCGGGTTTTCCCGGAGATGCAAACATCGGCTGGGAGAAGTAGGGGTGGGGTGGGAGTGGAGAGGACAGCAGGGTCTCCCGGGGCCCAGGGCAGGAAGGAGGCCCGAGCTGAGGAAGGCCCGGGGCAGCCGGAAAGGTCCTGGTGATTGATGCCTCAGCGCCAAAGGAAAATGCACCGCGGGCCCCATTCTGGCTCTTTGGAGCGAGGGGCCCAGTGCAGTGGCCGCCAAGCCAGCGCAGGGGCTGGTCTGCACGCAGAACCTCTCCGCCGCCCTCCCGCCTCCCTGACAGCTTGCAGCCGAGCAGCCCCGGCGGTCCCCGGGGAGCCGTGTCCCAGCCTTAGCCATCGTGGGGCCAGCAGCAGGGCCGCTTCCAATCTGCCGGCAGGCGCAGGGGGCGAACGGGAGAGTGCCGGAGCCGGGGATGAGGCCGCTGCCGGCCTGGCAGGAGGGACAAGAAAGTTTCTATTCTGTCCGGTGGAGCAAAGCTTCGCTGATCTCCAGTTTGGTTGATGCGGGCGCCCCATTATTCAGCTGTGATCTTGGAAACTGAGCTCGAAACGGCACCGGGGGTGTTTTCCGGGGCTGGGTGGGAGCAGGAGGCCAGACTGAGAAAGCCTGGGCACCCCGTGGGGCGGGGAGAGCGCTCGGCCCGGGCACTTGCAGGTGTGTGGGCTCCGCTCCCCGCCGCGGGCCAAAGACCGAGTCGCCATCCCCCGCGCTGCGGAGAGGATCCGGGACCCAGGGCGCTTCAGGTCTGTCCGCAGCCGGCCCGGGCACCCCTGGCCAACTCCTGAAGGGCGCAGCGAGAGGAGGGCGAGGGGCATGTTATTCACGGCAGAGACCACACTCCCAGCGCTGCCTTGAAAGCCATTCCCCAGCGGGCTCCGGCTCTGCGGGAATAAACGCCGCTCCCCTCGCCCGCGGGCGCTCCAGCGCTCTCCTGGGCTCCGCTGCCACCTTTTTAAAAACCATTGTTCAAGAGGACACAGAGGTACAAAAACACCCGACCGTTTCGGGGGCTGTGGGTTGAGTAGGGGTCACGGCCGCCTTTGTCTGTTGGTTGCCTCCTTCGGGCCACACGGATTTCTCGGATTTCTCGGGGTCTCCCCCAACATCCCCGACGCAGCCGTCCCCTGTTGCCCACCCCGCCCCGGAGTGGAGCAGCCCCTGGGCCGGCTCGGGCGGACACCAAGCTGCGCCCTCGCCCGCGCCCCGGCGGGGCCGAGCAGGGCAGACAGAGCCGCAATTTGTCGGACGCGGGAAACCACAGAAGCCAACGGCAACGCCCCCAAACAATGCAGCTTCTGTGAAAACCCCTTCCCCGCGCCAGGAAGGGCTTCGCCAGCCGCGTGCGTTTCCCCTGGCTGAGTTCAGACCCTCCCTGCTGCCGGAGGAGGAAAAACTGCGGAGAAGAGTCCCCGGCAGCCCCGCGGACGGGGGACATGGCCAGCGCCGAGCAAAGTAGGGAAAACTTTTCAGGGAGCTCCCGGCGCAGCCGCCCGCCGCGGAGCCAGGCTGCGCCCCCCGCCCCGGGCCGCACCCCCCTGGGCTAATCACCCTCATTAGGAGCCTCATCGCCGGCCTAATGAAAGCAAACCGTGTGGAAATCGCCGGTAAACAGTTGGGTCTGTGCTGTAATTAATTCAGTGTCTCTTTTAATCAAACTGAAAGGGATCGGGCCGCGGCGTGCCGAGCCGTGACATCACCCCCAAAATCGGCCGGAGCCAATCAGCGTCAACACTCCGGGGACACGTGGGCGCGTCCCCTGGAAAAAAACACACACACAACACAACGAAAAAAAAAAAAAGAAACAAAAAAAACCCAGCCCCAAAGTAAAAGTGACACAAGTTGGCGCGGCAGGGCCGGGGGGCGCGGGCCGGCGGGCCGGGCGGGCGCTGTCCGCGGTGCTGACTCGGCGCTCCGGCCGCTGCTCTCCAAGGTGCTGACGCCGCCAGGTGCGCTCGGGGCCCGCAGGTGCGCGACGCCGGCCCGCCCGCCGCCTCCCCGGGCTGCCCCCGCGGCCCCGGCCGCCGCCCGCCCGGAGGACGCCCGCGGTCGGGATTCTGCAGAAGGCTGCTCCCGCTTCGACTCCAGCATCTCCGCATCGCTTCTGCGCCAGAGGGGCGCGCAGGCTGTCGTCTCCCCTTTTGCTTACCCCAACTTGGCGCACCCGCCCGCCCTTCCCTCCCTGACACTCCCACCACCCCCCCTGGCTCGGAGGCTCAGCGCGATGCTGCAGAAGACGCGCTGAGCCCTTTTGGATCTAATGCGCAGAGGAGGTTGGCCCAGAGCTCCCGGGCTCCCCCAAGGCTGAACTCTGTCCAAGGTGCCCACAGGCTCCCTGCCCGCCTTCCCCATGCCAGCCCGCAGCTAGGGGCAGGGGCAGCGGTGGTTGGGGGTGGGTGGGGAGCTTTTGGGGAGGACAGGTCGCAGCTTGGCTATGGAAGGCTCCAATGGCTTTGGGATCGACTCCATTCTCTCCCACCGCGCGGGCAGCCCCGCCCTTCCCAAGGGGGACCCCTTGCTTGGGGACTGCCGCACGCCCCTGGAGCTGAGTCCGCACTCGGAGAGCAGCAGCGACTGCTCCTCACCAGCCTCGCCGGGAAGGGACTGTCTGGAGGCGGGCGCCCCGAGGCCTGCTGGGGCATCGGGCCCAGGTCTGGACTCCCACCTGCAGCCTGGGCAGCTCTCGGCCCCAGCCCAGTCTCGCACTGTGACTTCCTCCTTTCTGATCAGGGACATCCTTGCTGACTGCAAACCACTCGCAGCCTGTGCACCCTACTCTAGCAGCGGGCAGCCGGCCACCCCTGAGCCTGGGGGCCGTCTTGCGGCAAAGGCCGCGGAGGACTTTAGAGACAAGCTGGACAAAAGTGGCAGCAACGCCTCTTCAGACTCTGAGTATAAAGGTAAGAAAATGGGAGATGAAAATGCAGGAGGGGGTGCGCTATTTCTAAAAACTGGCATTAAAACTTGAGGGCTCACATTTAGGGACACACGCATGGTGACTGCGAGTTCCTCCAGGGTCCGGCTGAGCAGTCAGGTCCAGACCTTTCTGCCTGTCCGGTCGGTCTGGTTCTGGTTGTGTGGCTAAGCCTTTGAGCAACAAAGAGACCCGTCCCCGCAGAGACAGTGAGCAGGAAAGAGGGATACTGTGTACCCAAGGGAGACAGTCCCCCAAATTCACAAAGCAAACTTTCTAAACGTGGGCGGGGGGGCACCCTTTCAGGGGTGCTGGTGGGCAGGAGCGGGCTCCTCAGACCGCTGGCTCTCAAGAAAGATCTTTCGGCAGCAATGGAAGAACCGGAGCCTCTGACTTCAGTGCCCTTTCTGCAAGAGGGAAAGCCTAGCAGGAAATTTCTGCTGGAGCTCTGAGAATAGTCAGAATTTTCCCACCTTTACTCTGATTTCCAGACGGGAAGAGGAACCGGGCTTTCTCTCCTGTGGGGCCCAGTGCGGTCTGGGCCCCCAAGAATCACTTCAAAGTAGCCCCAGCAGCAGGGCGGCTGGCTGGGGGCAGGTCCCGAGGCCCACTGGAGAGGGGAAGACCCTGCACCCACACAAGGTTCTGGCTGAATTTGATTTTAGGGGTATCGAGCGATCAACCTCGGGTTGTGCAGGGGACCTAGATATTTCTCGGTCACCAGCCCGGTGCCCCCCACATTGGGCTGGCGGCCCCCTCCTTCGCTTTGTCACCTCCGTGAATCTTTTCATTGTTGCTGTTCTGTTTTCATCTGCTTAGCGGGAGAGGAGAGGGTGGCAGGGGAAGCGAAAGGGAAGGGAAACACCAGAGTTTCCTTATTTTGTTCCTCGCCCGCAGCCACTACCTTGACTTCAGGCCTTCGTTGAGGCCAGGGGCAAAAGTTCTTTCTATGAAGAAGTCAGGACCCTGAACAACCCCCACCCCCCGCCCCCACCAGCAGAAACCTAGGGGCTGACAGAGGCTGTTCAGGCCTCTTTCAGTCTTGCAATTAACCCCAGGGCCCTTCATGAGACAACCCCCCTAGGCAGCAACTTCTTCCTGGTGCTAGAAGCCCTGCCTCTCCCGGCCCCTCTCTCTGCCTCATCTGCACAAAATTTTACAGAAGCTCATTTAGCGCTCTCCTCCCAACCAAGACTTTATTCGCAGGCGTCCCCTGACCTCAAGCCAAAGTCCATTTGGGGCCTCCCTCTACCGCTCGCTCCCCTCCATTCTCGCATGAAAAGGGCCGGCTGCGTCTCCTTCAGGGAGACTCGGCCAAGGGTGCCTGGAAACCCGGCAGGTCAAGTTGCAGCGCCCAGGAAGAAGGTCCAGGGGCAAGAGGCCGGGTGACCCTCAGTCCCCCGCCCCCAGGCCTGGTGAGAGGCGAAGACGTGCCCTGGAGAAAGACAGGTGTGGGCGGGGGCGGGGGAGGGAGGCACATAATATATATTCATGATGTCGTGGTTTATTATTTATAATCCCCAACAACACCCCAGCTTTGCGGCGAGGGTCAGGGGCAACCATCTCCAGCGTTGCGTGTTAATGGCTGGTGGTCAAAGAGTTTGGCTCCTGCCTCCTTCTATGTCTTTGCCCGTAGGAAGGATTTTGAGGAGAGGTTTCATTTAAGATAATTGGAATATCAATTTTCTTCTCCTGTCCCTGATGCTACCTGATCAGGGCAGCCAGGCGAGTCGGCTGTCCACGGATCGCCTAAACAGGTTTGGAGGGGGACGCGCTGGAAGGGAGCCCCAGGCCCCACCCCAGGTGCTGCCGCCTTTGCACCCACAAAACCCCCTGGGGTGAAAAAAGATAGGACTCTGCCCTGAGACAAGGTCTGGGGTGTTTCTCCAATGTGGAGGCGACTTTTTTCAGGGTCTGAGTTAAGAAACCGTGATGAGAGAAACAGACACACAGAGCCAGTTGGGGGGCGTCTCGGATCCACCCCCACCCACCCACCCACCTTCTGTGCGAAGGGGCATTTCTTCCAAGGAGGGCTGGAACGGAAGGTCAGTCCAGGCCGAGGAGCACCAAAGGTTCCTCAAACATAACATTTAAAAGCTGGACGGCTTGGAAGTCAGGCCTCTGCAGCACCTTTTTGTCGGCGGGAGCTCACGTCCATCCGTCCATCCGTCCATCCGTCAGTCTGCAGAGAAACCAAACCAGGGCTTCCCTCCAAGCAGGGGGCTGGCGGGGGGCCTTGAACCCTGAGCACGGAGCCGAGACCTCCAGGCCGCAGTTGAGGCCCCTCTTGGCGGAGCCTCTTCCCGGAGACTGGCAGCAGCGAGCGAGCGCCCAGCTTGCACGGGAGCCGGAGCAGCATTAGGGAAAGACCAACAACGAACCTGTTCTTCCTGACACCCCAAACTCAATCCCCCCTCAGACCTGGGCCCTGAGAAGTGGGGGATTTTTTGTAGATAGTGGGGCAATTACGTCAAGAGGGAAAATTCTGGAAGATCAACTTTGAGGTTTGGGTAGCTGCTTCCTCGCACTTAGCTAAACTTCACCGCCTGCCGAGGCAGAACTCAAGTTCCCTTCAGCCCAGCACGTCCCGGCCTCCCGGGGTCTGTGTCCAGCGGTCCGGCCCAGGACGGGGCAGTGCGGGCAGGCAGGAGGGAGGCAGGGGCGGCCTCTGCTCCCCAGCGCTCTCCCGGAGGCGCACGCCTCAGCGCACCCCGCGCCCGGCGCCCTCCCTGCTGCGAACCGCAGCCTTCCCGGTGGAGAAGTCTCTCTCCCTGGTGGCTCAATTAACCGGATTGTTTCCTACAGAGAAAAATCAAGTCGCGTTCAGCTGAACACCGTCACTGCCAGCGCCACACACAATGAAACTCACCATAAAGAAAAACAGAGGGAAAAAGAGGGGTGGGGGGCGCCATCAATTTTGGGGAGTCTTTGGCTATATTATCGAGGAGGAACGTCAGTAAGTTTGTTTGATCGAGGGTTTCCATAACCCCGAAGGAAAGGGGGGATCCTCCCCAGTTAGTTCCATCCTCGGGCCTCAGGGGCAAGACCGTGCTGGGGTGTCCCAACGGGGGGGGGGGGGGGGGCAGGAACTGGGCCACATGGGAGAAGCGGGAGCCAGTGGGTCTGGCGGTCCAGGGGCAAACGAGGTGCTTGTTCTTCCAAGGGCCCGAAGCTCCCGGGTCTGCATGCGCTCACCCTCGGGGCTGCCCGGTGCACCGAGGACTGTTGTGGGGCGTCCCCAATAAAGGGGGGCCCCTGCTACAGTCCCACCCACTTGGGGCCCAGGCGAGACATGGGTACAGTTCTTTGTTCTCCAGTCGATCGTCCTCTGCGGTAAACGGGCTTCCTCCCCAGACTCCAGCCCTCAGCTTCTTTCATTCCCGGCCCCCGTAAACGGGCTTCCTCCCCAGACTCCAGCCCTCAGCTTCTTTCATTCCCGGCCCCCCTCGGGGCCCAGATGCGGAGCACAGACCCGTACCCCTGAGCAGAGCCACCCTGTCCTGACCCCCGGTGCCCTTCCCTGCTCCAGCAGGTGCACCGGCCCTGGGCTCACCACCGTGGCCCCGCCGCTCCTCACCCCTCCAGGGAGCGCAGGCCGCGAGTGTGGCTGCCGGGCCACCAGGAGGAGGAGCGGAGTTTGCTCCCGGCAGGGAGGGAGCGAGGTAGCTGCAGGGAGGCCGCCCTGACTCGCTGCGCTGTCTCCCCAGTGAAGGAGGAGGGCGATCGGGAGATCTCCAGCTCGAGGGACAGCCCCCCAGTGCGCCTGAAGAAGCCCCGCAAGGCCCGGACGGCCTTCACCGACCATCAGCTGGCGCAGCTGGAGCGCAGCTTTGAGCGGCAGAAGTACCTGAGTGTGCAGGACCGCATGGAGCTGGCCGCTTCGCTCAACCTCACCGACACGCAGGTCAAGACCTGGTACCAGAACCGCAGGTGAGGCCTGCTGTGAGTGGGGTGTGGAGAGGGTCCCCCCTTTCACTGGTCCTCCCAGGGACCTTGTGGCCACAGTCTGACAGTAAGGGAGGCTAGCTGAGTTTGTGAAAGTGGGGAAACTGAGGCCATGAGGGAAGACTTCACCCAGAGTTCCTCGGGTAGGCGTGGGAGAGAGCCCAGGCTAGCCTCACCCTTGGGGCCCTGTCACCCCCTCTAGGACAGGTGGACAGACACCTGAGGTCTGAGGCCTCCCCCACCCCAGTCGGCATGCCCCCACCCCCAGCCAGGGGAGGCGTGGTGGTCTCGGGCCAGTCCCCAGGGGTGGAATCCGCACAGCCAGAGGTGAGGGAGCCCAGCCCAGCCACACAGCTGCTTGTGGGCTGGGGCCCTGGCCCGCCCGGCTCCTCCGGCCTCTGCGGCCTTTGTAGTCCGGAAACCTGAAACCTGCGGAGGGAGGGGCCGCCCAGCTCCTTGGGGACCCGGAGTGTGTCCGACACTGGCCCCGGACCTGGTGTTTCCTAGCCACCCTCCCCAGGAGCTCGAGGGACGCAGACCCACTGGCAACACCCACACCCCCACACCACCCGCCGCGGCCACACGGACCCGCGTGGGCCCTCGGGGAGGCCGGGACGGTGCTCTCCATAAACAAGCGCAGAACACATCGCCCCATTAATAATAAATACCGATTACTTCTCCGGGCATCAATAATTAAGGGCCGTTACAGTAATTACAAAATTATGATGAGGATGAATAATTCAGGGAGGGGAAGGGGGTTGGTGTGGCTGAGTCGGCCGGGGTGGGGCCGGGGCCTGCTGGTCCGACCTCCCCGGCCAGGTGCACGCAGGGGTCCCAGCCGGGAAGTTTGGCCAGGAGCCCACGTGGCCCTCCGCCTGCCCCACAGCCCAGGCAGACACTCCCCCCACCCCAGGGTCCTTCCTCCTGACGGAGGGCCAGACCTGGGCTCGGGCGCCGGGGCAGCAGGTACGGCCACGGCCGGGGCGCCAGCACCCGTGAGAGCTTCCGCAGAAGCTGGGCCCGCAGAGCTGCGGGCGCTGGGAGAATCGGCCCAGCCCTTTGGGACGACTAGGGCCCCGCCCCACCGGCTCTCTCCAGGCCACTGCCCTCGCCTTCCCCAGGCCTCCCTGGGGTCTGGTGCACGGGGGTCTCCACCCAACGGGATTCCAAGGGCCGCACCAGCCCCTCCCCAGCAGTGGGGCTGGCGGTAGCTCTGGCTTTGGGGCGCACAGCCTGGCTTCGAATCCAGGCTCTGCCCCTTTGCAGACCATCCCCAAACTGGCCCGGGCCTCGGCTTTCTAGTCTGTAAAATGGGGATAAACAAACGCCGGAGGCCGCGGGAGAGCGAGCGAGGGGCTGCTGGGGCGGGTAGCACGTGGGCGCGGTGGGGCCGGGCCGGGCCCTTCCTCCTGAACACATCCGTGGGATCCTCCCTGCGGGCGCCCTGGGCCCGGCACTCCTGAGGGGGGTCTCGGGGAGCCCTGACCCCGAACGCGTTTATTTCTTCGGTCCCCAGGACTAAATGGAAGCGGCAGACGGCCGTGGGCCTGGAGCTGCTGGCGGAGGCGGGCAACTACTCGGCGCTGCAGAGGATGTTCCCGTCGCCCTACTTCTACCCGCAGAGCCTGGTCTCCAACCTGGACCCCGGCGCCGCGCTCTACCTGTACCGCGGGCCGAGCGCGCCGCCGCCTGCCCTGCAGCGGCCGCTGGTGCCCCGCATCCTCATCCACGGACTCCAGGGCGCCGGCGAGCCGGCCCCGCCGCTGCCCCCGCTGGCCGGCGTCCTCCCGCGCGCCGCGCAGCCCCGGTGAAGCGCCCGCGCCCCGGCCCCGCCCGCCCCGGCCCCTGGGGGCGCGCGGGCTCGACCGCCCTTCCCGGGGCCCCCGTCCGGTCCTCCCTGGCGCCCCCGCCCAGTGTTCCCCGAAGGGCCACATGCCAAGTCTACTGCGGCCCGGACCCCTGGACCGAGTCCCGAACCTGCCTCGGCGGCCGCTCTCCAGCCGCTCCACCGGGGCCGCCCGCCGCCGGCCGTGCCCACGGGCGAGCCCCGCCAGGCTCCCCAGGCCCCGCGCCCTCCAGGAGCAGGCGGGGGCGCCCCCGCGGCTCCCCCCACGCCCTCCACGCTCCAGGCCACCAAGCCCTGACGCCCCGGTCGCGCCGCCCGGCGGCCCCGCGCGCCCCACTCCCCAGCGCCGGCGGGAGCTGTACATACCGTGTGCAAAGTGTATATTAAGTTATTTATTCGTGACCATGACCCGTGACCGTGTCGTGCATCCGTGAGTCCGTGGCCCGTGGCCTCCCCTCCCCGAGGGGCAGGACGGGCCCAGGGGGCTTGCGCGCCCACCCTGACCCCGGCCCCCGCCCAGCTGCCCACCCGGCCAGCGGGCCCCTGGGGTTCTCTCTTTTTTTAAATGTGGAAATAAACTTCTTACAAAGACCAGGCGCCTGCCGTTCCCACCCCCGGACCCGCTCCCCTCTCGGGAGGTCTCCCGCGCCCCTAGGGAAGCCCTTTGCTCCAGAGCTTCCTTGCCCGGCCAGGGCCTGCTGGGGCGTGGACAGGGGTCCCCTCCGGGGCCTGAGTCTCCCCATTTCTGCAGCGCGGCCTGCAGCTCCATCCCCCCTCCCCCCATCTGGTCCGCGCCGCTCCCAGCGGGCCCTGGCCGGGCGGGGTGGGCTCGGTGGCGGGGTCAGCGCCTGGGCTCCCTCGACTGCGGGCCGGGCCGCGGTGCCCTCCCCGAGCCGGCTCATCTGGCCACAACAAGGGCGCCGGCAGCTGGTGATCGGCCCGGCGAGCGGGGCTGACAGATGGGCTCCGAGGCCACTCGCCCCCACCTCCTCCGCCCCGGCCCGGGTTCGGTCGCTCGGGGGTCGCCCGCGCCGGGTAGGACACGACAAGACTCCTCTGCAAACTGGACGCCACCTCGGGCAGACCCCCGCTCCCTCCCGCACCGTCTCGCTTCCCCCGCGCCCCGGGTGTCTGCGGGAGACCCGGCGGGAAGGCCAACCCTGAGGGCGGCGCCGGGACCCAGCCTGTGGCGCCAGGATCTTGGGGGAGGGGGTTACGTTTCCAGCCCCACTGGAGGCCTCGTCTTCTCGTTCAAAGGGCCAAGGTCACCTCCTGCGGCCCGCGGCCCGCCCCTCCCTGGGGAGGTGGGCACAGGTGCTCCCCGCCCCACACCACCTGCAGCTGAGACTCACAGGGGTGGGAAGAAACGGCAGGCGGGGGAAGTTTGCCCCCCCCCAAGCCGACCCCCATCCAGTTTTGTGGGGGTAGGACTGCTCTGGTCGAGAGGCAGGGGATCGCTTTCCAACTCTACCCTCCCACCTAAGCCAGGACCCCGCTACAGTTGCCCCCCCCCCCCCCAGCCCCCAGCCCCCTCACGCCACCGCCTTTCTTTCCCGGGACGGTGCGGGTATTATTCTAATTTTGCAAAATGCACAGCAGCTAATTAAGTCAAGCAGCCCCTCGGCTTTCGAGTTCTTTTGCATGTGAATGGGGGCTGGTAAATCCCCGGCTCCGGCGGCGGTGGGGGGCGAGGGGGGCCTGTCCCCAACTCAGGGTTAATGAAGTGGGAAAGGAGTCTCTCAGAGTCTCCTGCAAACAAAACCCCTATGCAACAAACCCGGCCCAAATCCTACATGGATTGACTTAAACCCAGGGGATAAGTGCTTTAAATTAATCTCATTGAATAAGAATGAGACCAAACAAAACTCTTTAAAATCATATTAAAAATCTATCAAAGGACAACTTGCACTGGTGTGCTTTTCATTTTGTGAGAGTGGAGGAGGGAGCCCGAGCAGCCGCCCTCACATTTACACAGCGCAGCGCAAATCACAGACACATTCTCGACTATGTAATTGTCCTTGTACCTCCACGGCGACTTCATATCTTACATTAATGAAGAACAAGGCTTCCCGACAAGTTCATAATTACGGTCTTTTAAATTGTCCTGCACGTCCCACCTGCAACAGTAACTTCACAGCCTGGGAGCGAGGTGGGCGCTACCTGCATCCGCTTCCAAGGCCAAAGTGGTTCCTCGCCCAGCCCCGGGCGGGGCGCGCTCTCATCGAAACAGAGAAGAATGACTGGGCGAGGCCCCAAGCGGGCGGCACACAAGGAGAGGCACCTCCTCTCACTCCCGGCTCCCCCACCCCCCTCCATCTAGACCCGACGGGGCCAGGGCCACAAAGTTAAAACGCAGCGTAGATGTTCCGCTGAGCCAGGCGGTGCGGCTTCTGGAGACTTCTGAGAAGTCGAACTGCTTTCAGGGACGGTGCCCACACGCAGGCCTTGCTCCGACCTTCCTCCGGTTTTGGAGCAGACGGAGACTGGCCGGGCCCTGCAGGCCCGACCCAGCCAGGGAATCGCCCTTTTCAAGCAGGCGGCGTCCCGTGCGCAAGACCTTCCGTTTCTGTCCCCAGGACGCCACGGAGAGATTTTAGTGGCTCCCACTGACTGGGTTTCGGGGCGGAAGCGCCACATAGCAAGGCCTCCAGCAGTTTGGAGCACACTTGCCTGAAGGGGCCCTCATTTCCTGCCCTCTCTCCCAAAAGCCCGCGCCCAGCGCTGCAGGGAAGGGAACTCCACTGAAGCCACGGAGCCTTGTCGGAGTCGCGGAGAAGTGGGGGCTCCTTGCGTCTCTAAGCCTGGAAAATGCCACTTGCATTTCGCCAATGCTGACTTGGCCACTGGCCAAGGGCTCTTTGCCCGCCGGTGCCTGAGACTGGGGAGCCCTCCGAGGAGGTGCAACTGCGGGGAGGGGGGGGGAGGGTGTTCCCCACCAATACGAAGATGTACGGGATGCCAAAGCAGCGCTCCCCGAGCCGGCGGGGAAGGGGTGAGGCACCACCAGCACCCAGGTTCTCTGTGACTTTAAACACGGGACTCAGGCCTGTGACCCAAGTTTGGGAAATCAGAAAAAAAAAAGAGGCGCTAAAGCTCTGCCTAATGGATGCCGGAGCTGCATCACCTGCCAAGAGCCATCCTAAGAAAGATTCACGTTCAGGTTGTTTAGATTCAGAGAATGTTAACCCTAAATGTGCTAAATCTACGTGTCTTTATTAACTGGGGCAACAGACCGATTCCCAGACCCACCGGCGGCAAGAAGCCCTCACCAGGCGCGGAGAGCGCAGAGAGCGCAGAGAGCGAGGCTCTGACCCCGAAGCCGCAGCCCCCACCCACTTGGCAGGGGCCAGCAACGGGCGCACTTTAAAGGAATGCGCTGGGGGTGGGGTGGGCTTCCCTTTGATCGCCCCCAATCACTGGCATTAATCCTGTTTCTCACGCAGCTGGGTTTTGTCTATAAAGTGAACCTTCCTTTTCTCTTCCGAAGCAAGGCAACCATCACCGGGGACGTGGGGGGCAGGGAGGGGGGCAGCTGTGTGTGTGTGTGTGTGTGTGTGTGTGTGTGTGTGCGCGCGCGCGCGTGCGCGCACATGTAGGTCTCCATAGGGCTGCAGCTCCAGGTTCCCGAATGTCCTGACTCAGCCCTATGCCACAGCCACTCCCTCTCCTGGCTGTTCAGTTCATGGGGTCTATCTGGGGGACCCTCACCCCACCCTGTGGTTAGAGGAGGCGGAGGCGGGAAGGCAGGGCATGGAGACCAAGTGGCCCAGTCAGAGGTGGGGAGGCCTTCCGCCCCACTCCTCTGGACCCTCTGGAATGACCCGTGTCCAAATCTTACATTTATTGGAAAATCAATACGCCCCAGGGGTCCTCTTTCAAATCTCCCAGAAAACACAATGCGGGAGGGGCCGCCCTGGCCCGGGTCACAATACAAAGACCCTCAGACCTCTCTGGAAGACCAGATAGGATTCCATGGGAGAAAAAGCTCAGGGCATTCGTGCCTTTTGACTTCAAAGGCAAACCATAAAAAGGCAACAGTAAATCAATTAGGCCTGGGAGAGGAAGCTTCTGGAGGACATGAAAGGGAGCGGAGGCCCAGACCAGCCACACGGAGCAGCACAGAGTGCAGCACCGTGGAGCTCCCGGAGGGAACCCTGGAGGAGGCGGCCCACACCCAAGGCTCCACGGTCCTTGGTCATTCTGAACTAAACAGCTGCGCATCAAGAAAACGATTTGATAAATACTTTTTCTCTTCTCTTACAAATTCAACTGCATGTTTTAAAATCCTGCTTTATAAAATTCATGCCAATATATGCGTGGGTAGGGCTAAAGCAAAACGAAGCGTCTTCAGAACAGGGCAGGCGAGCTCCTCGGGGACGCAGGTGAGCCGGCCAACCCCCACCAGGCCTCCCTGCTAAGAGGCGGCGGCGGCGCAGGCTCAGGGGGAGGGAACTCCTCTAAGAACAGGACCACTGAGGCCCCGTCCTCTGAAGCAGAGACGAAAGCCGATTTCTGGTTAGTCCTGCGGCCCCCCAGGAAGCCCTTCGGGGTTTCTGTTCCCCGGAGAGCCTTTTCTCTTCTTCCCCGGGGTGCAGGCGGGGCGCGGCTGGCTGCCGGGCTCGGGGCGCTGGCTCTGCGCAGTGACCTTGGGCGCAGCGGCCTCCATCCCACTGGAGTATTCCGAGCGCAGGATTTCAGCAAGGCGGTGCTTGCCGAGGGTCTTCTTGTGAAGGTCAGGCCTGAAGAAGAGTAACAGCACAGGGAGAAGAAACTTTATTATTATTTTTCTTTCCCATTCGGGAAGAGGCTGACAGCAGCTGGTTCCGAGACCGCGAAGCTGACATTTTTGTATGAGCAGCGCACCCCCTTCAGCAGCGCCTGTTTTGATATTCCGCGCGCCGCAAGATTAGATACGGCGCTGACAGATTTTCCTAACGGTGGCAAAATATCATGGCATTTTTAAAAGTGAGGCTTTGTTCTGTGTTGTTTTCATGGGAAGAAAGGAACACTACACACTCGTACTCTGATGGCAAATGAGGTGTGTGATGCAGCCGTTTGCCAAGGAATGGGGGGATCTGCCTGGGACTCGGTGGCCCGTGGCGGGGAAGCAAGTTGGCAGCCCCCGGGTCCCACGGGAGCGGTGAGGACAGGGGATCAGTCTTTATTGGCTGAAGAGACTCTCCTGACCCCACAAAACCCGGGGCGAGGGCATGCTTGGCAGAGCGTCAGCGCAGGAACCGAGGCCCCGACCCAGCGCGACGGGGGGTTCTCAACTTCAGGTGTGACTCCCAGGAACGGCTTCCGACAGGCACCAGACTTACCACCTGCCCGGGGGCCACAGAAGGAACGCTGCGGAAGTTCAATCGTACATGGGAAAATGATTATGAAAACTGAAAAGTAAAGTAAGTTTAAGACAGATTTTAGCCAGACGGCATCAGCACCGCTGCCAATGCCCTGCCCCGGGCGCCTCGCGGGAGGCTGCCCACCCCTGCGGCGCGCGCAGGCGGCCAGCAGCAGTGGACATTCCCCAAACCCGGGATGGGGAGGTAATACAGCAAACACCCTGCAGCCGAGAATCCACAGCTGGACTAACACGGTGTCCCGGGGCCGACCCTGCTCCAGCCAGTCCCCGGGGCAGGCTCCAGGCCACAGGCCACAGGGCCCAGACTCCGCATGGCAGCCACAGCGGGGTTTCCTACGTGACACCAGGAGAAACTCAGAGTCCACCGGGGCTGGGAACAAAAGACTTGAGGTGAGGGGATAATTAGCACACTGAAGGGCACTGAAGGGCCTGGGGTCTGTAACACCGCAGGAAGGTGGCGCGGGTGTGGGAGCACTCCCGGGCTGCGCACAGTCCCCCCAGCCCGTCGTCCGGCGCCCTCTCTGCTCAGTGAAGCAGGTCAGATCTCCGCCTGCACTTCGGCACCAAGGAAACTAAGATGGGAGGGCGACAAGTGACCGCGGCTGTCCGGGGCCCAACCGGAAGCGTGGAAGGCAGGACACAAACGAGGAGAGGACTCGAAGCCCACCTGGCCAGGGAGGGCAGTCGGGCATGACGGGAAGGCCCAGCAGCATCCCCAGAGCCCATGGCCAGGATCTGACGGGTGCGTCCACGTGGACTCATGGGAATGTTTGGTGGAAGGATGGGGTAGAGCTGATGACAGAGGGGTACGGGGGAGAGGCAAGAGCAGGGGCGAAGACGAAGGAGACGACGCCTGCACCTCATCAGCTGAAGGACACCAGAGGGACTCTGGTTTTCTTGTGCCTCAGTTTCCTCATCTGAAAAACAGGACCAATACTTACAACAGAGTTTATAAAGTTTGGGAAGGATGAGGTAAGACATCGAAGGCACTGGCAGGTGTCTGGCATGAGCCGTAGCCCCTCATGGTTAGAATGGAGGAAACTGAGGTCCAGGGAGGTGACACGACTCTCCCAGGGCCACCCAGGAGCCAGAACTGACCCTGGGACCCTCAGAGCTGGGCCGAGGCCCCGGTGGTTGCCCCCTTTCCACAGAGCTGTGATGCCAAGAGCCCGGCCCCAGCCCCTGTCCCATGGAGGCCCAGGCCAGGCCTGGCATGTGGGCGTGACATGGCAGGGGCAGGTCTGCCACCGAGAGCGCCAACCTTGCTCCTGCTGAAGCCTGCCAGCTCTGGTGCCTGCAGCTTATTTTTAGCTGGGTTCCATGGCAGACGGAGCAAGAAGCTTCTGACAGGGAGGGATGCTTTTCCTTCCCTCTTGTTTGAAGCCAGGTACTCACAACGTGTATAATTTTAAATGCAACAACCTGAATTTCAAAATATGCAAAATTTCAGTCAAAATATCCTTCCAGTCTAACTCTACCACTTCAGAGGTTGCTCCTGCTGTTGCTAAAGCAGAAATAACCAGGCCTTATGTGGGGACTGACCGCGCAGCCGCCGGCAGAGGCACCCCGGCGGTGGTGGCCTGTGCGCCCTGCTGTGGGTCACCTAGCCAGAGTGGAAGAGCTGGGGGCAGGGACCAGCTGGGCCTATGGGCAGACGCACCTGCACTCTGCCCTGTCCACTTCCAAGCAGGGCAAGACCTGCCCCTTCCCCGACAAGCCCGCTGGCTGGGGTGTGTCCTAGCTGGTCTATGATTTTATTCCAGTCAATAGACTTGGGACCCAGATCCCAGGACAAAAGCTCTCGGCGGTGCAGGAGCAAGAAGGGGCTCCATTTTCCAGACCCAGCCTTCTTCCTTGGTAGGGGACCATGTCGAGGTCGACCACAGGGGCTTGACCTGCTGCCACAACAGCCACCCTAAGGGGACGCCCCCTCCACGGCCAGCACCGCCACCTTTTCCTTTGTTCTGAGGCCCAACGTATGGAGGGCAAGAAGAGAGGGTTTAGCCCGAGCCCGCAGCGGTGCACAAGGGCAGGGCGTCTCCTTCTGAGGTGAGGCTCTCCCAGGAACTTGCCGACTTCCTGGCCTCCTTGCCCTCCAAATACCCAGGTCCTCTCCAGTGGGCCTCCCCAGCATCCCGGGTGGTAATCCTGCTGTTACCAAGCAACAGATCAGTTTATCTAACCACAGGGAACCCCCTTGCAGTGAAGGCTGAGTGCACCCCACCTCCCCAGGCCGGATTACCCAGCAGGACAGGCAGATGCCACTTACGCTGCCAATCAGGTGAAATCACAGCCTAATTAGTAAATCAATATGCCCACAGGAGGACACTGGAGATCAGGACCTTCTCCCAGCCTCCTTGACAACCCACAGGAAGGTCCTGCTTACATGGCCCGGCCCGGCCCCCACTAAGGCCCACTCCGCAGGGCAGGCCTGGGCTGGGTGTGGCCTAGCTTCCGTGTCTCCAGGCCGAGCAGTGTGGCGCGCCTCCCTGCATCGATCGGTGCAGAGAAGCCCGCCTCACCTAGGACTTGAAGCCCCACAGCACTTGCTGTGGCCTTAGTTCTCTCCAAATTTCATTTGGGTTTGTAGTAGGATGCAGGGAATTCAATATTTCTCCTCAACCGAGACAGTCACTCAACCATAACTCTTTCCCCAAGGATTTGCAATGCACCTCGAGAACGTTCTTACCAGTGTCCCAAGCGCTTCCCGCGGGCCCTGTTTACAGAGGGGATAAGGACGACACCGGAGGCCCAGATGGGCGGGTCGACCACGTAAGACTAAACACACATTCAAGCAAATGAGGGTCAGGAGTAGATCCTCATATGAAACAGGTAAAATCAAAGCCATTCACATGGGTGTGGGCACTCGAGCATGGCTCTGCCACGAACAGGCAGCACCTTCTGTGTGCCCAGGTGCTGTTCTGTGCCCCTGTTGGGCACGAGCCTGTTAACCCTCCACCCCAACACCCCCGGGACATGGGTCTCGGCCAGGCCAAGGTGAGCATGGAGGGGCGCGGTGTGAGCCACGACGCCACCCTGGGGCCCGGGCAAGTGACGCTGCGCCCGAGAGTTCTCATCAAATAAGCCGCAAGCTCGCAGCACCTCGCTTCCCGACACAGGCCCGCAGCGCCCACGTGATCGCAGGCCTGGAAGGCTTCCGGAGCCCATGATGAAGGACATCTTAAAAGGAATAACTCGAGCAAAAGTGCAGTTAAAAAAAATCACAGGATTTGCTTCATCTCATTAAAGACCCCCCCAATACTCTCTCCGCCCCCTCAAGACTCTGTGGAGAAAGCCCCAGCACGTGCGCACCAGGGCTAAGGTGGGCTCTGAGCTGGGGGGCACTTTTAAAGCTTTTCTGTTTCCTGGATTTTTACAATGAAATGTATTATTTTTGCAATCAGGAAAAAGGCATATTCACTTTAGGTGGGAAAAGCAAACGGCGGGATTTAGGCCTATGTGGAACTACGAATGTATTATACTTCTGCTTATCCAGCCTTGGCTTCCAGTTGGATTTCATGAGGGAATTTCCTCTCGTGCTGTAATTAAGACAGACGGGACTGGCCAAGTGGGTGCCTTTCCCTGACCAGAAAGTCTCTGCTGGCAGGCCGGGGCCCAGGGCAGCAGCCCCGCGTGGAGGAGGCCGGGGTCCTGAGCGAGGGTGGTGTGGCGGAGGGGACGGGTCCTTGCGCCTCCAGGCCACCCCAGGGGTTCGCTCACTCGGAGTTGGGCTCGGTGGCTCGGTGGCTCAGTCGAGAGACAGCAAGGGGAACAAACAACTCCAGGGAGAAGGTGACAGACAAGCAGCCCCTCTGGTGCAACCAGCTGCTGCAGGGGGCCCAGACCCAACCTCACGGAAGGAAAACCATGTCAAGACTGCCTGGGACTCTGCTTCGGCAGAGAGGTCAGCAGGCAGGCTGGCCCTTTCAGGGCTGCCCTCCCTGTGATTTCTTTTTTTTTTTTTTAAAGATTTATTTATTTGTTATTCAAGCACTGGGTACAGTCAGAAGCGTGGGAGGGCGAGAGAATTCACCAGAGCCAGAGGGGAGAGCAGAGCAGGCAGAGTGACAAAGAAATACACTGCTGAGGGGAGCAGCGGGCGTGGCAGGAGAGGTTTGTTGCGCCACGTGGGACCCTCGCGGGCAGCCGGGGACCGAACTGGCGCTGCAGAGGCTGTGGGCAGCCTAGCAGCCCAGCGCTCAACTGCTGCACCACCAGGGGAGGCCCTCCCTGTGATTTTGTAGTGGCTCCAGGACATCACAGTGACATTCCAAGGTGGCTTTGTGGACACACACCTGATAAAAAGCAGGTCTTGCTGTAGGAGGCTTGGGCCAGGGTGGGCCCAGCACTGCACCGCGCAGACCACAGGCACTAACA